TACCAAGTTTGTAATATCCTCCTCTTTCTGATCCCATAATTAAAACCAAGTCCCAAGTAATTAGGGAATGGGATTATAGTAATTAACAAAATACCAAGTTTTTAATCGATAGCAAAATAGGGACTTCAAGTTTACAAAACTAAAATCATTTTCAAAGTTTTGCAACTAGACAAATCAGAGTTTACAAATATGTGGAAGCATAAGATCATTACATAAGTGAGTACATTTATTTAAGAATTTAAAATAGGATAATTTTTGAAAAATTTTGAGGTGTGCGCCATGGCTCATTGAACATGTGCTGCGGCATGTTTGCCTCTATGACACTCGCTGCAGCTCGTTGCACGAATTTTGATAGTAAATTCTACTGTCAATTTGAAAGTATTAGGGCCAACTTTCGAAAGAGCCCCAAATCTCCGCCCGATGTCTGAATAATGCAAACTAGGTGTCTACAAAAAGCTCTTTTTAAGCTCTAATTAATGGCATTAGTCTCAGACTCAAATTATTTCTAAAACAAAAATTGGACACACTTTTTAAAACCTACACTTTTACAATAATTTTCATAAAATCAAGTGTCCAAACCAAATGCCAAAGGCCAATAGCCACTAACACTAATTTGACTGCATACAAATCATTAAGACTAACTCGTGCAATGCACCATATCACATGAAATACTCTCAGATCAAATTTTCACTACTCAACCCCTTAAACTTAAAAACATAAAAAAGGGGAGTTTATCACAATTTTTATCAAGTTCTCCAAATCATCTCATAATATGCTCTACTCTTCTTGCATTAATATTTTGGCCCTATCACAATAACACATATTCATCAACTCACTCTTTAGGGCCCAAAATACACTTACAATTTACAATTCACATAATACAAGTAAGGAACAAATAAGAATTCCTAATTGATAATTGAAATTACTTAAAATAAAGAGGCCTACTACAAAAGGATTGCAGTCCTAAGCCTTTGGGTGTTTTCCTTTATCCACACCTCTTGAACTATTTACTGTAATATTAAAAATACCACGGTGAGTACAATCACTCAATAACCAAGGTTCGACTAACCCATACTAATGCATGTCAATCAGTTTAAAGTGCAAGTAGCAAATAATATCAATACTTTAAATCATGTACCATATTTGAGAATCTATGTTCACACTTCTAAGTATAATAGTACATACTTAGGAATAAAACTTTTCAACAATCTTCAGATCCCAGAAAGTTTGTCACATAATACAATCACACATAATCAAGAGTAATTATCACTCAATTCATGAATATTCTCATTAAGGTCACAATATAGACAGTCATGTGCCCTTATTCACTATATGTATGATCACACCTCCCTTATATTCTCCTTATTCCTCTTATACGAAACCATGGGCTATAATACAAGGGGATATTCTATATTACATGACCTATGTAGCTTAAACACTTGTAAGGGGATTACCTAGCCAAAGCGCACCCAACTTACTTATAGAACACAGTTTTTTCCATTTCTCACACTATGGGGTGTCACACACTCTAGACTAGCCTCCTCATTGAACAGGTGGATAGCTAGCTAGGTTCGAGTCCTTTATGGAACCAGTGGGACAGTCACTCATTAAACAAGTGAGGTAATATGGATATAATCAATTCAGGTAAACCATCACACGAATAAGGCCTTGTCACGTGGATTTATAATTTACTCCTATTCCTAGGCGAACTCCTGTCTCTCAATATCATGTAATGCATATTCATGCCATAATTTACACTTTATACAATTCATAGAACTCCACTTTATCAATTTCATTGAACTTCATTATTACACAATTCGTTGAACTTTTTAAACACATTTTCATGGAACTTCAAACCAAATAAGTCATTAAACTCCAATTTCACAATCATTGTACTTCACAGTTTCAAAAATCATTAAACTTCACTATTTTAAACATCATTGAACTTCTTATAAACAAAGATTCATGTTACTTCTCAAATCACAAAATTATTAAACTCCTAATAAACATAATACGAAAATCTATCGATATTGTTCTCAAAGAATTTCACATTACTAAGCATAAAGCTCACAAAATCAATCTAGTGAATTTTCTAACAAGTCAAGCCATACTTGCATTTTTTTAATTTATACATTTCAAAGATCAATCATAAATCCATAAACTAATAAACACACAAAAGTATAAGATAGAATTCTCCTGTTACCTCAAACCTTTGAGAGGTCAAAGGTTTTACCCCTTAATTACTCACTTCCAAAGCTTCCAAGAAACTTCAATAGTGCCAATAGTAGTTACTCTACAAGCATTTACCATGTAAAACATCAATATCCATATTTGAGTTATTTTTCACTAATAATTTATCATTTCTTAATACTCAAGATTTATTCTTGACTCATATAAAAGTACCCATAAGGCTTCTTAGCTTCCTTCAACCCTCATTGAGCAGTTAAATGGTCATTAATGAAACCACGTTGTTTCCAACCACCATATTTATGAGAATTTTCAAACATTTAATATCTTCTAACTACCAATCATTATAAAACCACAAATACCAAGCTTACTTAGCTCAATCTACTTCCATTAATTCGATTTAAGTTAATGAGTTCAGACCTATAGCTTCTATAGACCGAAAATCACCATTATCAATCAAATCCTAACATCTACCATTAAGAAAATGGAAGAAGAGAGGACGATTTAAGTAGGAAAGCTTACCTTTGATGTTTAGGAACTTCAAAATACTCCTAATACTTAAATTTTCCAAATCTTAATATTGCTCTCTCCTTGCTCTTTCGTTTCTTTGTTTCTTTTCTTCTCTGATGTATCAAATTTGCAGCTTATTTCAGTAGAAAAATGACTATGTGTTGCGGCAGATACACAATACGCCTCGGTGCATGGCATAGAGAGCCTTTTCTAAGCGTGTTATCATGCATGCGTCGCGGTGGCTGATCCACAAGCCGCGGCACATGGCACAGAATTACTTTCTTCATAAATTCTTCCTCTTCCATTCTTGGGTGACCCGATTCTCTTTCAGATCCACTTTTAGAACTGAAATCGAGACCAAACACGCTCGTTAGGCCTTTCTAGCCACACACCTCACTAATACACTTAATTAGTCTATTTGAACTTAATTAATTTTGATTTAAAATTGAGGATGTTACACAATTTAATATTAAAATTTTTAAATTATTATATGTTGATTATTCAAATGTACTTTGCATGAATTTGAATTTTTTCTATACCCTCTCTCAATATATCTTTCTATATTCAATCTTATCCATTTATTTAGTTATTGTTTTGGTTTAATGGTGTGAAATTACTAATTACACTATTAAACTAAATATAGTATTGATTTAATGTTTATCATTAATAAGTATTACGATCTTATTTTTAATAGTATTAAACCAATAATAGTAAATAATCTATTTATTTTAATGTTATAATTAGTCATTTTACACCATTAAACCAAAATAATAATTAAATGAATAGACGATATTGAGTATAAAAAGAGAGTATAAAAATGATCCAAATCCTACCTTGTACAATCCAAATTTAAAATTTTTAACTTTTAATTTTTAAATATTTTTTAAAATTCCAATTTTGTATATTTTATTTTTTAATATGATATTTATCAAAATAAAAATTTCTAAAAATTATAAAAATATTTTAATATTAAATTTGGACTATACACATCTAAATAGTCAATATATAAACTTTATAAAAATTTCAATTTAAATTAAACAGTACAAATTAAATCTAGAAGATATTGATTTATAAAAAATATTCATAAATTTTTTTTATAATTTTATAAACTTTTATTTTAATAAATATAAAATAATATTTTAAATTTAAATTATTCAAATCAAAATGTGAATAATCTATATCAATGGCCGAACTATGTGTTCTGCAAGGGGGAGGGAGGGGGTATAGACATAACACCAGGATTAAAATTTTAATCTCCTGTATTATACACACATATATACATGAATATATATATATATATATATATATATCCCCTCTATACTATAATATGTGACATTAATAATTATTTCACAGTTCTAAAAAAGTTAGGTAAATTTTTTTAAAAAAATTGTACATATTTTTAACCATACACTCATTAAATATCTTACATAATTTTTTTAAAAAAAGTAATAAATAAAGTAAAGGTGTAGTTAAAAAATAATTATAAAAACTATCAAATATCAAGTGTTTTGGACTAAGCAGAGTGTTTAGAAAATACACTATATTGTGATTAAGTGGGAACACTTTATTTACTCTTTACGTACACATTATAATATTTTTTCATGTAGATTAAGAAAAATTATTAAATTGTTTAATTTTTTAAAAATATTTTAATATTGCACTCATACCTTTATTAATTAAAGAGAACCTTATCATGCCTTGTTCAAGTTACAAAAAACTACTAAAATTATAGGGAGTAAAAATGAAGCATCATTTGATATTTTAATTTTTTTTTGAGCAAAATTTGATATTTTAATTTTGAATCTTATAATTTAGACCACCTTTTATTTTTGAAAGGTACCTTACAATATAAGGGAATGCAAAGAACATAAATATATTACTTTCTCCATTTAAAAATGTAAAGCATTTTTTGAAAAGTTGAATATTTAAAAATATAAGGTATTTTTAGTCTTTTGAGACGTAATTATTGCCTTTTTTAAAAAATACCCTTATTGATAGTGACTTTATATTTATTATAGGGTGTTTAATAGGATAAATATGAAAAGATAAGGTTAGTTTGAAAGTAAGTAACTATTTTATTGAGTAATAAGATTCGATTAAAAATGTTTTATATTTTTAAATGAAGGGAGTATATGATTTTATTTTAAACGTTTTTAAAATTTTTTAAAAAGTCTATATCATTGTACATAATTTGGTATATAATATTTTTAAATTATAAAATTTATTTATTTTATTTATTTTTTGTTTTCTAAGGATGGACTCCCAAATTAAGGCTGTTTCCGCCCTTGATCCTGGTCTTATCCCACTGAAGCTTTGAGTCCCCAAGAAGGCAATAATTCTTGGCAGAAAGGGAAGGGTCCCTTTCTCTCTGTGAAAAGAAATTGAAAAAAGAAACAAAAAAGATGCTTTGCTTAATTTGCTGCATTTTGCAGATGCTGATACCGCTACCGAATTGACGATTTAGTTCTAGAACTAAAGTAAGTATCTTTAGCTCGTAGATCCATTGCATAGAAATTTCGGTTTCTCCATGCTCTATCTCTGCATCTGTACATGCTATACCTAATTTGAGGTTTTGCTATTTGTTGAACGAGTATCTAATCCGAGAAAATAACGAATGATAAGCAAAAAGGCTATTTAGATAGCTAAAACAAGGGAAGATAGTGGTGCGTGGGGACAATGATGATATCTTCTTGGATCAGGCCTTCGACTTGGAGTGAAGAGTCCGTTTTCAAAGAGTCAAGGTTGGGTTTGTGGGGTGGCCCTATATTAGGAAAAGGATAGCTCCTCACGATAAGTGCCAAGTATTCGTCATCGTATCATTGCGTATGGATTTGAATGGTATTTGTGAAAAAGATGTGACATTGCAGGGTCATTGTGTGATTGCATTTCTTATTCAGTATCTATGTTTGGCTTTTCGTAATTCTTTAGCAGGAAATGCAAGCACCGAAGAAGAGTCTCGTTTAACTTGGATTCCTTGATATTAGTTGGCATCTTTTTGGGATAGATAGCATTCTTTAGGAAGTAAAATTTTCCTGCTGTTAGTATGCAGATTATATCGCTTGATATCTTTTCCTTCGGGGTGGGGTAGTACTAGGATAAGATCATAAGAAATCATTAACTCAAGATCTATGATCTGATCTCTTTCTCAACCCTTCTTAGTCAACTCCTAAAAGAGACTATGGGCAAGAAAAGCCAGAAACACAAATTAAAGGTGTGGCATGAGAAGAAATTTCTTCTAAATCACCACAGCCTTTTGCTTCAACCTTAGGCACCGCCACACTGTGCAATGAGACTGTGAGAGGATACCTTACACTTCCATAGTCCTTCATTGAATCAAAATCTATGGATGAACCAGAACAATATTCTAGAGGCTGGATTGACTCCTTAAAGCTGCCAAAATGCCAATTCCTAATTTTACATGCGATCACAAAATGTTGAGTTTTTATTTGTCTCCAAACTCCATAGGCGGAAAAAGACATGGGAAGAATCAGAGGAAGAACCTTAAGTGTATGAATTTTCACTTGGTATTATGTACATCTCGAATCTTTAGTTTCTTTATTTTGTGTTTGCTGTAGATTTGAATTCTGTAATGCTGCAGAGTAGAGAAACTACAAACATGCTAATATTGTCGTAAGATATACATATCTTCTGATCTGTGTCGATTCCTTTTAGTGTTATTACTAATCACTAAGTTGCTAAATATAATTTGATTTAGCTTCGAACAGTTGTGTGAGTAAATGTTCTCTGGCCACATTTGTGCACTAGATATTCTACATGGAGAATTCGCCAATGCTGTTGAAAACCCATCTGTATTGATTGTAATGAGGAGGAACATTATTGTCTGAGGACTTTTCCAGCTGGTTTTTAAGTGTTGGCATTATTATTGAGGTACTTTAACTGTGGAGTTAGACCATGACCACATAACATGCAACATTATGCAGATGATTTTTTGTGCACTTCCTTGCGATGCAATTAGCCTTGGTCTTTCGAATTGGGTTGCAAAGCTTAGATATTCTAAGCTAATATCTTCAGTATTGGGCCAAGCTTGATATTTTGCAAAGGTCAGACAGCTCATATGCATATTGATCATTCAAATAGTATTCAGAGACTATTGTTTGCTTAGATAATTGATGTTGGCTCGTGGCTGCACACCTTTTCTGTGTGCCGTGATTCTATGTGCTATACCTTGACTGTCTTCTATTCCTTCTCATATTAAGCTCACATTACCTGACTAGCTCCATAGGGAGCAAAAAGTAATTTTAGTCAGACTGTACTGCAGAAAAATCAGGAGAAGATGTATACTCAACTGGATTTATAGTGCTGATGCGCTATGTGATGGGAACACTTTCTTATATTGATTCCTTTTTGCTGAAGTACATCCTTTTAAAATAGAGGGTATCGTCCTCTTGTTTCATCATTCTTACTTATCTCCAATCCTTTTTATTACTTGTACCGGGGAATTTTGAAGACCAGAGGGCATGGCCACACCTACTTTACCTCCTTCAAGGAAGAAAAAATTATTTGATACTGCGAAATGTTTAGCGCACATCTTTTTGTTTTTGTTTTTGGTAGTAAAATGAGTATCTTATTATTATTTTTTTCTGAATAAACTGGATACACACACACACACACAACAGCAAAATGCGAAAACACGAGGGTTTAAACAACTCCAGGCACCAAATCATCATTCACCACCTTAATAGAGTATCTCTTATGTTTTGTCCATAGTAGAGACTAATCTCCCTTATGGTTCTTTCTTAGCAGATGAAAAAGGATTTTTCACTTTCCTAATGGAAAACGACTGAGATAAACCCTGCATGAGAGAACACAGGATGTCCAGAGACTGTTTTGACTAACTACCAAGACCATCTTTAGTAGTCTTAGCTCTCAACCACAGCACGGCCCACCCCAAAAATAAATGAAGATATGACTTAAAAGTTAAAACGGTCACCTCAAGGGTTTCTTTGTTCTTCATTTTTTTATTTCCAGATTGTTTTTGTATCAGTTGGGCCAACTTCTTGTTGGCGGATATTCCAAGTTAAGCTCAAGTCTCAAGGAAGGGATCTATTTGAGTTTTAACAGACTCAAAGAAATGGTGTAATGATTTACACTTTTGAAGTTGGGCTGAGAGGGAATCATAACCACAATTCCTAACCATAACCGACAGGGACAAAGAGGATAACTATCACCGAAACATTGAATGGTCTCACCCAGAAAGCCTCCAAAGTACTAAAATGCAGCCCCACCGACCCCACTCCAAAACAAGCTAGTACTCCAACCTCACTTTCTCCTCTTGATGAATCATTTACCTCGTAACTCGTAAGCCCCCCCCCCCCCCTCTCTCTCTCTCTTTCCCCTCACATAAATACACACAGCCAAAAGTTCCTTAAGATGACTACAATCAACAGACTAATGCAGAGGTCTTGGGACTGGATGCTTTGTAGCCAAAGGTCTCCAAAAATGCTCGCCATGCTGAGCCGCCATCACACACCGAACCTCTCATCGAACCAGTGTGGGTCGAACCAGGTTCCGATCATAGACGCGCCACTGCCTCTGGTGTGGTCCCTGATCAGGAGATTTGATCACCCACAGAGTTACAAGCAGTTCATAAAGAGCTGCAACATACTGGCCGGCCATGGCGGGGTTGGCAGTGTGCGTGAGGTCCTGGTTATGTCCGGCATGCCGGCCGGAGTTAGCTTGGAGAGGTTGGACAAGCTTGATGACGATCAGTACGTTATGAAGTTCAGCATGATCGGTGGGGATCATCGGCTGCTGAACTACAGATCCACCATCACTCTGCATGAGGAAGACGGGCAAGGATATGAAGGGAAGACGGTGGTGATAGAGTCATACGTGGTGGATATTCCGGCGGGGAGTAGTGGGGAAGATACTTGCTCTTTTGCCAACACCATCGTAGGTTGCAATCTAAGGTCGTTGGCTAGAGTTACAGAGCAGATCTTTTGTAAGACTAACACTAACTGAGGTTGTAGTTTATTTTGGATTATTTTATTACCATGTTCGTTGTGTTTTGGGAGAGTTGCACTTATGCCTTCATGAGCTAAATAATTACTCTGCAGGTCTTTTCAGTTTTGAAATAATTGTCCAAATCTAAGGGTCTTCGTTGCAAATAAAATTGTTTGCTGAAAAGATGGGAATGCTCTGGGTTTTCAAGTATATGTTTGCCTATTTACCACTAGACCTTCACTTATTCAAAAGTAAATCTTCATATATTCACAACAACAGGTTCACATACTTGCTAATATAGGTTCTCACATATTTACAAATACATATTGACATATTTATAATTATAGCTTCACATATTTGCTACCATATGTTCACACGCTTATAAGTTTAGGTCTACAATTAGTGAATATGTAAACTAGTTTTTGTGATCATGTGAACATATATTTATGAATTGATAAATGCCTCATAGTAAATATACGAATGTATACTTCTATCAAGACTTTTTTTCAAGTGAAAATCATATTTGTAGAGAGTGTCTTGGGCTTGGGCAATTATTTTAGAATTGAAAGTACTTGCACTGTAATTATTTTGCTAATGAGAGTCCTAAGTGAGATTCCGCCTTATAGTTTTTGTGTTGACTATGCTCTATTGCGTCTTGAACTAATCAAAAATCAATGTATTGTGAATTGAATTCCATATGTAGGAATTTATGTAAGTGCTTTGCTGTGGCTGATAAGACTGTAAAAGCAAAAGGCCAAGGAACTTATTGTTATGTTACAAGTTGTGAGAATATTCTGTATCAATTGGAGCCATGATGCTTTGGCAATACAATGCTTTTTCTTCGTGTTTTAAAAAAAAAAAAAAATCGTTAGAACTCGACAATAATTAATTTACCGGACAGTTTGTCGTTGTTATTTTTTGCCAAAAAATGTTCTCTTCAAAATTAATATGAAGATAAACTCAACTCTAACAATACAATTTTTTATTATATTTTAATATATCATTTATATATAAAAATAGAGAAAAGAAACTTTAAATTCTTAAATTTTTTTCTCCAATTACCGGGTAGTTTCCTGTGAACAAATTAGTTTGTAGTTTTTTAAAATTTGGATTCAATTTTTATGTAGATCTTAAAAAATATAAAATATTTTTAATCTTTTAAGATGTAATTATTATCTTTTTTTTTTCAAGTATCCTTATGAGTAATGATTTTATATTTAGTATAGGGTGTTTAATGGGGGTAAATATAAAAATATAGGATTAGTTTAAAAATATGTAACTATTTTATTGGAGGTAAAATTTAATTAAAAATATTTTACATTTTTAAATGGAGGGAGTAATTTTTTAACTAAATGATTCAATTCTTATAATCCGTGTCACTTTGCCAAAGCTTCACGGTGGTGATTTTCCTTTATTGTTTAGCTTTCTTACCCACATCAATTCTATTAGTGTATTTTAATGAAGTTGAGAATTTTGGTTTTAGCTGTGAACATGATGTCACTCTGTTTATCTACCTGTTTGGATTGAGGACTTAATCGATTTTAGGGATAAAAAAATCGATTAAGCCATAATTTACCCAAACACCTATTTTTTTTCAAAATTGATTTTTTCCCAAAAAATCAATTTTGTCCCAACGCTCTAAATCTCAACTTCTCCACTTCTGCGTGTCTTTGTTACAAAGTTATATGAGTAAATTACATAAAAAGTTCAAGAAAAAAATCACAAAAAAGGCACAAAATTTAATAAAACTAAAACAAAACTTTTTTCTCTTCTTTTTTTCTTAATAAAATTTGAATCTCTAAAAAAATTACTAGCATGAGTATCCAAATAGATTGCGTTATAACATAATTAATTATGATTAAAATCTACTACTTAATCAATTATTTTCATAATTTATTATACCCAACTGAAATTCAAACGAACCCTGTTTTATTCATTGCCTTTAACTTCACATAATTAATTATTCCATATCTTGATCATGGCATCACAATTTATTGTTGCTATAAATTTATAAAGGCGCTTTTTAAAAAAGAAAAAAGAAAAGGACTTACAAAATCACATGCTCTTGCATCTTTATTTATTATTCATAAGCTGAAATCATGCTCCGCCCCCTTCCTATCCCTTTCTTCATCAAGGTAAAATGAAAAAAAAATTTAGGTAAATATTAAATAATTTTAAACTTGTGGCATATTGGTAAATAATTTTCTTTGCTGCAGCATCATGGTAAAGTTGCCGATCTTAAGTTGTCTGGCGGAATTACTGTTCAATCATTCCTGTAATTGCTATTTAATATTTACTGCAATTCATTCCAATACTTCTTTCTCCTCACATTCCTTTTCCCTGACACCGGTTTCCTTTTTAATAATAATAATAATAATAATAATAATAATAATAATAATAATAATAATCCATATAAAATCAGTCTAAATATCGAGGTATAAAATAAAACGAGGGGTTTGGAATTTTGATGAAAAGAGATCGTATGCGTGCATTAAGAAACAAATAAAATATTCCATTCTGTTATCATTTGCTGTGAGTATGAAAATACCATACTATTCTAACTTCAGTTTTATTCAGTCCAAAAAAATATAATTTTTAATCCCTATAATTTTATTGGATATAATTTTTTTTAATACTTTCAGTCCTTATAGGAATTAACAACACTGAAAAAACTAAAATTATAGAGACTTAAAAAACAAACATCACCCAATTTAATTAAAAAATTATAGGGACTGAAAATACTTAAGAATAATGGGCTAAATATGCATTGGGCTCAGATTACCATTAACAAATCCAGCCCATCTATTACAGCTTTTTTATACCAGTTAATGAAAAAGAGTATAAATGACATTAACACTTTCTTAAATCTCATTGAAGGACTTAACAGTTTCAATTTTGTTTTGTTTTGTTTTTTTTATTTAAAATTCACGTTGTTTTTATACCATATTTTACTTGGAAACGAGAGCGATGTGAAAGTCGAATAGATTCCCCAAAACTCATTCTCTATTCATGGAACTTCAGTCATTAAGACCCAAAAAAAAGAAAAAAAAAGAAAAAGAGGAAAATAACAATGAATGACTGCTGAAACAAATTTATATCAGTTAATGATCACTTATTACCAAAATTCAAGTAGAAACTTATTGATTTAGATTAGTCTTTTATCAACAAGTATCTATTCGAATTTTAATAATAACTCATTCTAAATTAATAATAATTTATTTGAATTTATTTTTTATTTGAGTTTTGACAACAGTTAACTTGTAATTTATATAAATTTCTTTTGATGGTCATTAATTGCTATTTTTCCAAAAAAAAAAAACCTTAGAGTAGTGTAATTGAAGGACCGAAACAAGTGCTGCAATGCCACCAAGGTGAGCCATACGCGAAGGGAAACACAAAAGATTCCAAAAACCCATTTGAAAGGATAATGAATGGATTGTAGTCATAAGATCATAAATGAAATGGTAAGACATAATGTAACTGATTGTATTCCAATTAATTAATAATTATTTAACTATTTTTAGTTTTTAGTTAGTCTAGCTGTATAAATGCTATTGAGTATATTCAATAAAGATGTCTCAATTTAATCCCTTTCTAGTCTCACATAATGGCTCCAAAACCTGCTCCCAACCTCCTCTCATAGTCTTAGATGAATCCTTGCCTTTTAATTGTTTAAGAATTTTACCATTAGTAGCATCAAGGTAAGCATCATAAAAATGGTGAACGGGGAACCCATATTATTGTATCCTTATAACAAGCCCTTTTAGGCACTCGAACATAAGCTGTCAAGTGAATGTCGTAATACACCGACTCATTTCCCTATTAACTTGTAGCTCAATAGCACTCGGTGACTTTACAAGAAACAAGGGCTGGGTTGCAAGAATTAAATTGAGCGAAGCAATAAAGCCAAAGATGAGTTGCATGTTTGTGGCATTGAGTGAGAATGTGCTCCAATAAAATGCAAATACCCAACTCCCTTGGCCACACTAGGGTCAAACACCAAAATTAAAAGCACGAACAAGGTTGGAAAACCAGCACATGAATAAGATTTGGTGGCTTAACATATTAACAAACACCATATGTGCATCTTAAGAGAGGAGCAATCATAGCTATTGACATAAACAATGGGGAGAACAAAAGTATTGAGAGACCAAACCGAAACCTCCAAGATATTTATAAAACGAATCACTGAGTTTGCTCACCATAGTATTATTAATGTTTAGGATTAGTCAGTCCTCTACCTCAATATTCACAAGAAGCTCTAAGATTCTAATTCGAGAGTTAAACTATTAGGGTTGATGGGTTTAATGATCTCACAGTTATGGATAGTGTCATCGATAGCGATCACCTTGTCAAAACTCAAAGCATTGTTAATTAGTAGAGGAGGCAGCAGTAATGGTTGTTCCAAACATTGGATAGCACGATATATATCAAGCCACATATTATGTAGTTCAAACTCTAGGTTAGAAACTTCTATAGATGATTGTTGAGAGAGTCAGTTTGTCACAAAAGAACCAAAAGCTCACAAAAGTATGAGAATAGAAGACTTTAATTAGCCTAATTGCAAATCCATAGAGGTCTGAAATTGCTGAAGTCCTACTTCAATGTCTGCTAAATGATGATTTCTAGTACTCAAAACTAAATGAGGAGTTATTGTCATGGTGAAGGTCTCTTAATGAAAGCACCAATTGCAATGAACTCAAAATTTACTGAGATGATAAAAACACAACTAACCTCTATTTAATGAAAATTCCAAGCCTAAGCACATCATTTCAACATGATTAAGGGAAAATTACATGACCATAATTAATAGAAACTAGAAATATAAGAGAATGAGGGAGTGACAGAGTTGCAGAAAGAAGAAGGAGGAGAAACTCCAAAGAGAGATTTCATAAAAATTCATCCATACCCTTTACTGTAAAACTCATCCTTCTCATGTAGTCTCTCCTTTTCTCACTTCCAAAAGACTCTGGGCCTCCTTATTTCATTCCCAACCGTTCTACTTAAGCCTTGTATTATGACATGCTTCTTGGGTCTTATGTAACATTCTAAATTCTTAATCCAAAAAACTAGTTACTAAGAAAGGGTAAACTAGTAAAATTAGAGGATTAATTGAATAATCAGGATTTTGGAAGGTGAATTAGTGTTTTGATTTGTTGTGTTATTGAATGGATAGGATCGGGTGGAAGAATATAATGATAGTCTGGAAT